AGCTTGCTTTTTCTCACCCCCTCCCAAAAAAAAGTATTAGTAATTTAGAGCAACAGTTGTGTATCGTGTTTGATATACCTCACTTATAAATTATACAGATACACTAAAGATTTGTTAAACTATCCAGAATAAGATCCCCTTTAGGTATTAAAAAATCATTAATGAATAAAATTTGCAAACATACTCCTTTTTATTTTTATGTTGGGCTAACCTCTCAAATATAGACTAGTCCAGGGATCAGTAACTTTGTAATTGTGAGAGGTAGGCCACAGTAAAAAATAATTTAATTCATTAATACTGAGTCTATTACCGATTAATCGTTCACAATATCATTCGTATGGCGATTTGACGTTTATTAACGTCCGCTAAAATGTCTTTCCTTTTCTTTTTTTTTTAAAATATTTTCCAAAATAGTTTTCGAGTAAGAATGCTTATGAATTTGTATCTGGTGCATAAGTCGATTCTTGAAGATCCCGCTATTACTCCGTTGCTATGTCATGTTCGTAGAAAATTATACTAGTAAACCATCCAGTAACTAGTTATCAACAGTAATGGTAAGAAACTATTCAGTAAGAAGTATTGAACATGACTTTGCAAGTCATGTTATGTTATACTATTATTATTTCAAGATTACATAATGTCTTGAACATATATACCATCAATAATACGTTTTGCTATTTGTAATTTTTTAATCTGAGTTTCACAAAAATTGACCATCATAAATTGTGCATGCACCACCAGTGTTTGAGAAATTTCGTAGAAAATATGCGTTGTTTATAAGCTTCGTTAAAGACGACTAAAAAAGCACTACGATTAATCTTTTTATTTAATTTTTCTTATGTTCATACAAGTGTTTTCTTTTCTGGACACAAAATGTATAAAAGCTGTCCAAAAGTTCTGCATATCGGAGCGCTATTCTTTTAGCCATTGTTAAGGACGATTTTTTTATTTTTTATTTCTTTTTAATTGAATGTGTGAGTTTTTTATGTATATATCTGAAGTTATAGGAATTTTTTATTTTCTAAACAAGGTCAGCATTTTGTGGCCGTGTTCATAGTTAATGTTTTTTAGTGTTGGCTTTTTCTTTTTTATTACTGGAGCTTCCATTATTTTTAATCTTTATTTTTTACATGTGGTGTGGCTATTATACATATATTTTCTACTAGTATATTGCGGATGGTAGGTTTCCATGTATGTTTAAATTAATCCCTATTAAGCTATAGTCAGATAGGTGTAACGGGAATCATCATTCCTATAACTTCAGATACATACAAAAAAAAGCCAACACATTAAAAATAAAAGTTGCCCTTGATAATGGTTAAAAAAAAAACAAATAACCGAAAACGCCCGGCTATGCAGAACTTTTGAACAGTTTTTACATACTTCGTGTCCAGAAAAGAAAATACTTGTAAAAACACCAGAAAAATTAAATAGAAAGCTTAAGCGCAGTACCTTTTCAGTCGTCTTTAACGAAACTTGTATAAAAGATGGCTTGCTGCCCAAATACACCATATATATATCCCGACTTGAAGCAATCGGACGTTATATATATATATATATATATATATATATATATATATATATATATATATATATATGCAGAGAAAGGTTCATATATTTTAAATGTCATGACTCACAGTTTACAGAAAAAAAACCCTAAAAAACAAAAACATATTGACTCCGAGAAGCTAGCAAATAGTTTCGGTTGTCGGTGCGTCTTTTGATCTCTTGTTGTTTCGCTTCTCTCTCTTGGTGTAGGTTTGTATAGACTAGTTGGCATTTCTGAGTTGACTGACTGTTGCAAAGTATCATATTTATTTGTTTTCCGGAGATAGAAACTGTAGTGTTTCGCTTTTATCTCGGATCTATTCCAAGGATGGTTTTCAGAGCCGCTCCCAATGTTCCAGAGATTATGGACACAACTTGGTCACGTTCATATTCCATAATTTTCGGTCGCAGTTCTCGGTTACAGTTTAGATAATTATCTATTTTCTCGTTCTATTTTATGTTCGACCTTCGACCCTTGAAACGGCTATATTAAATTTACTCATTGATTGATCGAAACTTATCTTTTTTTTATACCTCATGATCTATTTTCAACTAAATTTTCAATTTTATTTTATTTTATTTTTTTAACTCAAATACCTTCATCTAAGGCATATACCTCCCAAAGATGAGCATACATGATGAAAAAATGCCCCAAACTTAATAAAAAGAAATTTTTTATTATCAAAATCTTTATTATTATTAAGAGGAAAAACTAAATATTTTTTTTTATTAGATTATGTATTTTAATCCTTTTTAGAAACTTCGAAATTTTGGTTAATTTTGTTTTTCTTGTATCAACAGGTGACTATAAATTAATATGGAAAATTTGAGCTCCTTTTTGCTGTGAAAAATACATTGATTTAGAAATTCCCACAAAAATCAGATTATTGTTGGATGTTAATGAATCTTTCAGGACTTATTCACAAATGAATGAACTTATTTTAAAAACTTTTTTCTTCGAAAATCCTGATAATTTTTATTTTTGCATCTGTTCGTCCCACATTTCGAGAAATTCATTTTTGTAGTGCTTAATGTTTATATTAGTTATAATGATATGTCCTTGTTGAATTTAAATCAATTCTTTTTTTTTTGTCAAACAGTTACAAAAAATCTGCTCTGAATCATAAATTAAAATGCAATAAAATTAAGACATTATTCAATTAGAAAAGTTTTCTGAATAATATATATTATGGACACCATTAAGAAAAAGTTTTTTTAAAAATAATTTATAAAGATTTAAATATTTTAAAATTTTGTATTAATTTTAATGGTTAGGTGATATTATTAAGTAAAAACTATATTTACTAATCATAAATGGAGAGGCTTACTACAATTCAGCTACCTCCAGTATTTTAAAATTCATTTTGAATTTTTTTTGTGTGTGTATATAAACGTCTCGAATTTTGTAAATACGGATGTCCATATACATTATCAGAAAATAAGAACGGTAACTATAGTAACGCTAAAATTTATTGGTAATTTTCTAAAATTTCTCAAGAAGCGTCTTCGTAAGTAAGACTATAAAAGCCCAAGTACCTAAATTTCAATAACATATTAGATTGGAATATTTTCCTAAAATTTTAAGATTACTGGGTAGTTAAAAAAACTATATAAAAAAGACTTTCACGTTGTATTCGTAAAGTAACTTTTACAGTCATGTGCCCTTTACTTAAAAATGACAAACATTAAAGTATCGATAAACACTTTATAAAAACACCCGTGTGAAAAAAATATTTTTCTGCGAAACTTTGAACTGAAATGAAGTAAGATTTGCTTTTAATTCAGATTAATTAAACTTTGAATCAGTTAATCTTCTGGAAATAAAGTTTCAGAAGAATATATTTTTATTTTTGAAAGATTTTTAAAAATAAAGACAATTATGGCGTTAGATTTGTCAATATGGTAGATTTTAGCGATTAAAAAAACAACAGCATTCTAATCAAATTGAATTCAGTTTGAAATACAGCAAAGTAGTTTGTTTATCGGAAATATTAAGTTTTATCTATTAGCTTGGAATTACAACCAATGTTTTTACATTGGTTGTAATTCAAGAAAGATTTTTTTATTTTTAAAAATCATTTTAAACCTCGGGTATCGCTTTTTTCATTGGCAGTACCTAATCTCGGGAAAATTAAATTTTTAGGACTGATCAGCGACTGTTTATTATTATTATTATTATTCCTACTTTTTCATTTTCTCTTGTACCATATCCTTTCAAGATCTGGGGAATCGTGGTTATTCCAACTTTCTGTGTTTTGTTGCTCTAAGTAACTTTTGATACTTTATCATTCCTCCTTGTCCTTTTTGCCATTAATATTGCCACACACACACACACACACACTTACATTCTTTCGACTTCTTCCGAACGGTTTTTATTTTATTATAAATATTTAGGTAATGATCTGCTTACCACGGCCAGATACTACCAAGTGCATCCAATATATATTTGGTAAACCATCAGTTGAATAGATAAATACATGCATTTTTTAATGCGTTTGATGAATTCTGAAGCAGCTGGAATGAGCGATAAAAATGAAAAGAAAATAACGTCATCTTGTATCTGTCATGTTATTTAGACGTGATAAACACAAATAATAAAGTGATGCCCGATAGGGATTTGTTGGTTGATAAAGCGACTGATTGAAAACATAAAAGCATGATAACTCTTTCCATGTGTTATTTTAGTGAGAATTGTTTATAAATTCGCCACACTCCTGAAGAAGTTGGAGGAAAGGTTACTGACTGTTGATCTTATTATTACTGCCACTCTTGACTTTCCTCCATTCTATAGCAATGTATTTACTTTCTTTCTAAATTATTTTATAAGAACAAAATAGTTACAAATAAATAAGACAATTTTATAGCGAAAGAAAGACATTTCAGTTTTATTTTTATTACTATTGTTAGAAGATATTTGTCGAAAATTTCGTAATTTTTCAAGGGAATCAAGCAACCGAAGCCGACAGCAGTTGGGGTTACAGTCATTGCGAACATCACGATCCTTTCATTAGATGCATATACTATGTGCTTCATCAGGACTACATGCGTCTTTCTTTTAATTTAAGGTTGTCCTTCTCCTTGACTGACTGCTAGCCAAGGTTGAAGAGCTCATTCTGCTCTACTATTTATCTCATAGCTAGAGATGAATTCTCTAGATGGATTCATACCTTTCCAAAGGGACTGATTTGTTTTTTTACGGTTTATCAACTTTTTGCAGGTTATTTAAAACCAGAGAATATTTTGACACTGTAAGAATCTTTTGAAGATAATAATAATTTACTGATACAAGTCCTAATAATTAACCCATAACTGGAGGAGAAAAGATGGATTCATACTTTACCCAAGGGTATTTGCGCGTAAGTGAATATAAAGTACACGACTGGAATTGAAACTCAGCCCTCCGATTTACAATTCTGAACCGTTATCTATTACACCACACGCACACACAAATCTACAGTACCTGGTCTTCTCAAGCAGTCACCCATCTAGGTACTGACCAAGCTCGACGTTGCTTAACTTTATTGATAGTACAGGAACCGGTGTTTCAACGTGATATGGTCGTAAGCCGCTTTCCAAAGGGTATTTGCATATAAGTGAATGTAATTCTTATTCTGTGCCACTATTCATTTCGCCACCCGCACATCTTTCAAGGGAGCAAAAACTATAGATTTATCTTAACAAAATTGTTGTAAGTCTTTTCTTGCTACTTTAATATGGCAGCGCACAGAATTGCATTGTGTGTTTGACAATGCGTCCACACAAAGTCACCAACGTTTAAGTTTAGCAAACACTACCCGTTTCAAGGACATCTTTTTGTATGATGAATCTGTTTGTCTAAGATTGATAAATAAAGAATCCACACTTAATGTTATACAATGTGCAATAAAAAAATTTAAAAAATTAATAAATAAAATAAACCCACGGGTTATGAAGACATTGCCTTAAACATTAGATAACTCAGTTTTGAACAAAGCGTCTTTATGACATAACAGCTCTTAAAATGTTGACGTGACTTGAAGTGCTGCCGACAATATTATCTGTACTCCAAAGAAAGCAAATTGACCTGGTAACACATATTTAAATTACTGTAACATACACAAGCATTGACTGTAGTAGTGATCACTTCATAGATATTTGTAAACTAAAGATTAAGAAAATTAAAGAAACCTACATAATTGCCTAAACTTTGACATGACGAACTCCCCAGTGACTCCATTGTAAAGAAGCACATGCAGTTGCACTTAAGAACAAATATGAAAATTTGGCGGTCAAATTGTGCTTAGGCGAGCATGCGCGTTATGAGAACGAGTGAGTTAACAAGGAGTGTCTTGACCAGCTGGTGTAGCATAACATAACTGTTCAAATTAACTGTCACAGTGAGTATGTCTTTAGATAATGCGTTTATTGTCGCGAACGAGGTGAGGGCCTGCTATCTTAAGATGCAGGTTTGGGTTACTGGCGGAGTGAGAATGATGTGTAAAACCCGAAATTCGCAATGAAACCAGTGCACATCAAGTTGAATTTTGACCCTAATGAAAGAGAGGACGTGGAAAATGCGATAAAACAGCATCTTACTTATTATAAAACGCAGATTGTGTGTGTGTATTGGATCGGATTTCCTACATTTTTCAACCGATTTCAACAAAACTTCACAAGAATACGTAAAATTACCTTACGGTGGTTCTGACAGCGCCAAAAATTGGAAAAACATAATTGTTTTTGCACGAAATCAATTTGAAAACACGATTAAGAAGCATTAATGAAAGGGGGACATCTAATATCGCGTTATACTTATTAATATCGAGTTATCGAGTTATACTTATTATAAAACCCAGGTTGGTTGTTTGTTTGTTTGTTTGTTTGTGTGTGTGTGTGTGTGTGTGTTCGTTTATATATGGGATCGGATTTCCTACATTTTTCAACCGATTTCAACAAAACCTAACTTTTTTTGGCAGGTAGTGTTTCTTATTCTCTTGCACACTTTTTTCTTTATTTTTAACATTCAGAATGCTTTAAAAATTCCATTTACAAGACAATTATTTATAATAAAATTCTATTCAATCGATAGACTCATAACGATTGAAAACAATGTTTTTGTTTGGATTTGGGTTTGACCAATTCGTAAAAGAAAAAAAAAAGAAAACTAATTAAGACATGCGTGTCCATCAACCTTAAACAATAATCTTTGTCAATTTTATTTTTCAGTCTTTATGATGGTCGATACTTGATCTATCTCTTACTGTTACATCCCCGGGCAACGCCGGGCTCTACTGCTAGTGGTTTCTATAAAGACAAACAAAAGGATCAGTTATAAGGACAAACCGGTCAAGGAAGACTGGCTTAACAGAAAATACGTAGAGATCGAAAAGGTGAAGGACACGGGTGCAGTGGGCGTGCGCAAATAGATAAAAGGAATCGAACAGGAAATATATTCAGTAACAAAAGAGGAATGACTCTTACTATACATGAATAAACACGTCATATTAAAATCTGAAGTCTGGACAGCATTTTTTTTTTTACTAATGTTCACCGAAGAGCCACTCAAGGTAGAGGTTTAATGAAGGGGGTTGTATGAATGGTAAAAGTAAGAGTTAAGAAACGCAGTTTATGAGGATATGTGGAAAAGATAACGCTTAACCCTAGATTTGAAATGGTTAAGATTGTAGTGGTTGGGAAGACATCCTGGTTCCACAAATAGTGTTTCATGAAAAGCTGTTCGAGTGGAACATCCTTTTTAACAATGGAATATGAAGTGGGTGAAGATGGTTCGCCCCTGTGTAGATGGCATAGCGGGTCTTAGCTATGAAGGTTAGAATTTGTGAATGTAGCTCGTCAGAATATTTTCCATGGAAATAGCGATAGAAAGGCTTACAACGTTTCATCTGTGGGGAAAGGGGTTGTAGGGTGGAAAATTCATCATCTGCAATGCAGTATAGACGCTTTTGCACTCTAGCAATGGCCAAGTGTAAGAGAAGCAGGACCTTGAAATTACCAGAGAGATTTTGACAGCTTTAGATGATTTTGAAATTGAACAAAGAAATATAGAATTGTTAAATAACATATACGATAGTAGTGAAATACCGTAAATCAGTTTTCATAGCGTTGCAAAAGAAACTAGATGCAGGGGAATGAGGGCTTCATTGTATAGTTTAATGAATCACATCGCGTAACTAATAATTAGGATACTAATTACTAGACATCGCGGCAAAATCAGACGGGCAATAAGAGAAGAACATTTTGTTTTTTTACAAGATGCTTGAATAAGAAAAGCAAACAGGACGAACTAAAGATATTTTTCAGAAACTGTGTAGTCAGTGGCGAACTGACCAGAGTGTCAGCCTGCCCAATGGCAAGTGGGAGTTGGCCCCCTATATAAAATAAAAATGCAATAAATAAATAAACACAGACAACTGTTTTAGTAATAAAAGGGAATAAGAACTTTATGAGATCATTTGCACACTATCAGTTACTCAAGTCTGATGTGAGAAGACATTTTCAAAACTAAAGATAATAAAAACAAGGTTAAGAAATTCGCTGCCTTGGGAGAATTTGGAATCATGCATCTTATCTATTGAAAAGGAATTGTTAGATGAATTTTATGCAGAAGCAATTATTAGCAGATGTGCATAATCACCGAGTGAACACAAACGATTGTTCTTAATATAGAGGACTGCATGCAATGCGCCATTGTGCTTTTGAACTATCAATTAATGTGTAAATTGTGCAGTAAACTATTTAAAAATATCAACTGATTGCTTAAAATTAAAAAAAGTAAATAAATTAAAAAAATCAATTATAACATTGTAGTTACATTTGGTATCTACTGCCAGTAATATGTACATTGTAATATGTAGACTTAATTGCTAAGAAATACACATTTTACCATAAAAAATTTAATTGTACTTTTTTGCCATCGATGCATTTTTTGGAAAATTTTATTGATCCGTTAAGAAAATATAAGTATAAACTGGCGAGGATTGTAGTTGTAGGTGGACCCCCTTTGTCTCCTAGCAACCAATAGCAACCAATATTTTCAGACCCCCAGAAATCGTCGCTTGATATAATCAATGTTGTTTTTTGAATTTTCGTCCTTTATTTTAGGTCAGATTTAGGCCTGCTTCTGGTAACAGGTAACTCAGTACAACCTGCCATATAGACGGGTGGTTAGCATCTGAACCAGCCCCTCCACTAGCTTTTCTGTTGGTGAGGATAGTGATATGGACAAAAAACGACACCTAACAAAGGGCATGGGAGCTGACGGCCAAAACACACACACACACACACACACACACACACACACACACACACACACACACACACACACACACACACACACATATATATATATATATATATATATAAAAATGAGATCTCACGCTTGAATAGCAACATTCCTAGAGATGGTATCTCGATAAAAACACTGGGTGTACTTGGAATGCCGTGAATGTCTGAGTTGGGCGTCAGGAAGAGCATTCGGCCTTGTAAAACCTTGCCTCAAATCATTATGACAAATCCTTAGTCAGGCAGGACCCACCTTCCTTTGTGTGCGATTAATCCCGGTCCTGGCTCAATAAGAAGGCACAACCATGTATGTATGCGTGTTTGGGAGATAAATACAAAATAATCACAAAACAATCATAAATTATTTTATTTGTCATACAAACATCACACACTCTCGTAGGTTAACTTGTCACTTACTTCAATTTTTGTACATATCCATCATGACATCACATAAAAAATAACAAAAATACAACAATTAATAAAAGACATTTGTAGATAATACCTGTACAAAAATACTTAAAATAAAATGTGTTTCATCACAGGAGATGAGTTTTTAAAATGTTTATAAAATAATTAAAATACATATAAAATATTGAGCCTTGTATAGGGTAAGCATTACAGAAAAGAAAAAAAAGATATATGATGACTATATGAGTTATGTAAAATTTATGCGTAACAGCATCCTAGGGAAAAGTTGTGATGGGGTAACAGCAGATATATTCATTGTCATTTCCTTACCGACAAGAACTTCTCAAATCAAGATAACATCTTTAAATCTTTTCTTTTCTTTTCTTTTTTTTGACAGCTGAATTTGCTGTTAAAGTTAGAATAAATGAAAAAGTTAAAAAAGGGAATATTTTGATTGAATAAACAATAAACGTTGATTTGTTAGAATAAATCGGCAACCATTTTGAACAACACGATAGACCATCAGTCAGTTGCTTTGTAGCTGTGTCTAAAATGTAGGTCTTTATCCGGGCGCTCATACGAACATAATGCGATACAAGGTTGTGTTTAAAGTGGGATTTCAGAAACCGTCCAAAATTTGCTTCTGGTACTTCGGTACATATTCTTTTGTGGATGTCTCAGAGAAAGAGAGATAATGTCTCAGAGAAGGATTGATAATGTTTGGAGTGACGGTCTCCAGAAATTCGGGCCTAATACACATTTCATCTCCCTCTAGCTTAGTTTAAAATCCAATTGGGTTTTCTGTGTTCAATTGCTACCATGAAAAACCGTTGGGTCTGAGGTACAACGCCCCAGTTACTAAACGATCGTATAGT